TAAAGCCATTTGGAGATTGCCGAGACTAAGCAATTAAATCAACGGTGTTTGCTCGTGCGAGTGAAGCGATGCCTTATTTCGCAAGAAGGGGTTGAAACAGACGGTTGAGAACTTCATTGTTCGTATTTTGGGTGTAAGATATTATCCACATAGTTTGCTGAAATGAATATGTTCTCTGCAAGGAGTTTGGAAAAGAGTAGACATCTTTCGTTAATCAGCAATACAATCTTGAATTCATGATAATAATATTGACTCATATTGTGTTGTAGGTTGCAGATACAACTACCCCTGAAAATTATCTAAATTCGTAGCTTCAGATAGCTATTTCTCCAGTTTGTATCTGAAAGGTATTTCTTTGCCTGATCTACACATCTTTGTAAATAGTTTATTTGGAACTTAATTGCTTTCTTTTTTCAAAAACTACACCTCCTGATTTGATCTCCACAAACTTTATTGGAAAAATATATTACATGTTTCGCTAGCACAGTAGCTGTCTCAAATGATTTGAATACTTCAACTTGTTCTTACATTAATATTTATATACTGCAGGTAACCATAATTGAGACTACCTCCAAAAAATTACCTCTACCTGAGGTACCTGTTCAATTATGATCACCTGAAGCATATTACCTCACATCTACATCAATAATAATTCTTTCCCGGTTTTTAAGAAAACAAAATCAATAATGGTGATCTATTTAAATCTAGTTGGTCATTCATTAGAATGTTTGAAATTTTAAGTTTATTAATTTCCACTGCTTCCAAATGATTCAGTTTCAAACCTTCATTTTCTGTGTGAAATTTCGAANAAAATGTTTGGCTCACACCAATCTCTAACTTTTATCAAGTCGGCAGAGATTATTTTGTGCAATTCACAAGAGTTTTTATTATTCCAAAGTCTAGTAGTGTCATCTGCAAATGAGCCGAACTTCCCAGAAATATTAAGCTTGGGAATGGGACCTAACACAGAACCTTGTGGAACTCCAGAATTGATTTACCTTTTTTTTTGAAAGTTGAGATGTTTTGACGATTTGCGTCCGTTCCATTAAGTAGGAATCGAACCATTTGTGAGTCACTCCTCTGCATCCATAACGTTGGAGCTTTCTCAGCAGTATTTTGTGATCAACGCAGTCGAATGCCTTTGACAGGTCTCAAAATACTGCGGCTGTCTTTTCACCGATATTTATCTCAGAATAAACTTTATTCAGAAATGAGGAAATAGCATCGTGCGTATTTTTATTATTCTGGAAGCCTGGAAGTCTACAGTTACTCTAACCACATTCGATCTAGTATTGTCTTGTTGAAATATGGGGTTCTCGATGGTCTCAAGATATGGAAGGATATTAGGCTCCACTATTTCGTGAATATAACGAAGGGCTGTCATGTTGCCTCCAATAAAGAGTAAAGGTGTCCTACTACATATGCAAAGGCACCCCATACCATTAAACCAACAGGATGGTGAACATGCCTCTCCACATTAAACTGAGGATCTCGTCTTTAACCACGACTCCTTCTTACTCTTGCTCGTCCATCGTGCATTACGACGACCAGTGTCTCTAGCTCTGTCTTGTTGGCCTTCTTGGGTCCATGCCTGACAACATCTTAGAATAGTAGATACGCAAAGATCGATTGGTTCTTCTTGAAATTTCTCTCTCAAAATCACTAAGTTGAGGAATACGATGAAGTTTTCGCACTCGAGGCATAGTGTTAATAATACGAAATATTTTACAGCAAACTCTTTTTAACAGTTAAAGCACAAATAAAAATAAAAATTGGAGAAATTGTGAATGCTCACACAAACAAAAACAGTTAAAAACTGGTCAGAATAGCTTCAGATGCGGCTGAAATTTTACTGGCTCTTTACTGGTCTCAACATAAATACACATGCATAACAATATTGAAATATTTACAAGAGTTTTTTGGACAATAAAGTATATTTTGATTGATTGATCTAGAAATACGAAAAAGTTCCATACACGTAATTTTGATTGTTATATCTTCGCCTCTGAGCTCAAAAGGCATACGTTGTTGACACGAGTAAAAAGCTATAACACAAAGATCTGAGAGATTACTTATACAGCTACCCGAAGATAAACAGATAATATAGTCTGAGCTGAATTATTTACTGTGCTCTACTGAAAACTTTGTATTTCTCGGTGAAACTTTTGAAAGATGACATTCTCTGTAAGCAAATGCGACTGTTAATTCCGCAGTTCTCTTTGAAATTGATGGTAACTTATTAAAATTTATAATGTGGAAGTTTCGAGTGGCTCTGCCACAATGTCTATTCTTCATATTGAAAGTTCTTTCCCGTTTCTACAGAATAGCCTTGTCAGAATATCAAGGAAAATTACTTATAAAAATGTTTAGGACACCAGCTGCTGGAAAATAATTCCATGAAAATAAAAAAAATAAATAGATAAGTACTTTTTGATCATTCCCATATTGATTTCAATTTAAGAGCCACCGGTAGACCGCTGTTTCAGCCTATTGGGCATCGTCAGTACCGGGCAGGCGGTCCTCGATTGAAGACAAAATGAGAAAAAAC